CAATAAAAATACAGATTTCTTGATTTTACGCGAATATTGTACGTATTGAATGAAACTAGTTTCAGTCTGTCCCGAGACTACGAACGCTGGAAGAGTTCGAAACGTGTGGCAATCAGCCGTTAAGCTTAGTGGCTAAAGCGTCAGGGCGCGAATCCAGTACACGTGGGTTCGTTTCCCACAGCGGCGACAAGCTATTCGTACTTTTTTCTACAAATTTTAATAGAATTTTTAAAGTCGGTTCGTAAATGACGTAGTTCTTTGGTTGTAAATATAAAAAAATTACAACCAATTGAGAACCCCCCCCCCCCCTTTTTTTTTAAAGTCGTTTAAAACGGTATACTCCAAATGTCCAAAGCGGGATTCACGTTTTGATTTTTGTACTATAACTTATATTTGTGTGTGAACTATGAGGTGGCAGCCCTACACGATTACGACGGTAGCAAGGGGGCGGCTTTAAAAGCTTCGCCTAATGCACTGTGCAGGAGCGTTTGATGCGAACAGAGTACTTGAACCAGTGCTTGAGCAAGTTAATTATTGAATGGGGATAGTGGATAAAATTTTGTACTGTATTTTCTCAGATCGTGTTAATCGGGTGGACATTTTGAGGAGTATTAGTATATCTATATATTAATACATGAAGTAAAAACTTTGTACCCCATTTTACGAAAATTGCGCGGACGGAGGAGTATGAAATTACCCACACATAGTCCATATACAGATTTTTTAAAAATTATTCATAAAAACATTTAATCAATGTAAAAAAAAAACATTACACACACTGTAATGTACAATTAATAATGACGGAATTTCGACCACTCGTCGACCACTAGTATTTCGAACTGTACATTCTCAGATCCGGTGAATAGTAGGTAGATTGAGAAAGAACCGTTCAAGTGTCACAAATCAAATGCGAAGATGAGTCAGCTACTAAGACATCTTTGTCCTAAGTTCATTTTACAATATTTATTTTGACAATTTTCAACACGCCAAGTTGATAATTTCTCTTGTGAAGTCGACTTTCATACATACATCATATTGTAGTTTACATTTATTTTAAAATTTTCGACATTCCGATGCTTTACGCTTGATGTCACTGTTGACGCGGGCTAACGTGAGCTGGAAAATTACTAATTTCTTTCCGGTCCACATTCGCAGCTAACGCATACCTTTAGCTCCTGCGGTAGTGGTGTGCTCGGGCCTGTATTAAAGGTATCGAGTTATCGAGGTACTGAACCGACGATAGAATGCAACAATCTTCTCTATTGACATTTGGATTTCTCGTTATTAACCGACTTCAAAAAGGAGGAAGTTCTCCATTCGAACGTATTTTTTTAATCAATACGCTCTCGATTAATGTCCGACAAGGAACTGTGCTCTTTTACGATTTCTGATCTATCAAATCAGATATAACATCCGCAGACTGCAGACTAAATTGACCTCTTTTGTTTGATGTCGTTTATATGAAATAAAAAGTTGGATTTTTTTTTTCGATATAATAGACAACACATTCAAGATCATGCTCGTACTCTCTTGGGCCTTATAGAGATATTTTAGACTTGACAGGTCTTAAAAATTGAGATCTGCGATTTGAAAAACGTCATAATGGAAGCCTGCTACAATTTTGCCAATGTAGTTTCTTATACGTGAGAGTATAGGATGTACTTTGTCTTTAATTGATTAATAATTTTGGAATATTTTTGTGGTTTTAAAAAACTTTGTGTAAATGTACATCATACTTTGGAATTCATTTTACCGTCGATATTGAGCCATCATGTCATTTCCAGTCATTGTTACCAGGATTAAATAAACAAGTTTAAAAAGAAAGTAAGCATAGTAAATGTTATTCCAACGCGATAAGACAGTAACACAAAATAATGTTGTCGATGTATACGTCTCTCGAAGATTTTTTGTTTACTCAATTTTTAGATTTGTTTATTTCATAAAAAAATCCTCACACAAGAATCTGTGAGCGAATCGTTGTTTGACGCTAGTGTGCCACAAGAAAACCGTAAAGCGATCGACGCCGTTACATTTTAATACGAGAAATAAAAATAGCGGTCGCGTAATAACCCCCCGGCGCGAAGCGATCCTTATCGCGTCAATCCTCCGACTGTGCATCGTAAAGAAGCCGATGTACGGTGGCGAAATATTCCGCGAAGAGAAAATACGCGAAGATCGTGACGCAGATAAGCGACAATTAATATCGCGAGCTGACGATGATCCTACTTTAATGTATGCGTCAAAAGTCCCAACGTATCTGCAAATATGTTTACGAAGCCAAACGACGTGTGTAATATTACTTCTATTTTTGTTTTTTTGAGTGAAAAGTTGCCAAGCGAGCAGACGGTTCACCTGATGGTAAGTGAATACCGCTATATACCCATGGACATCTGCTACACCCGAGGGTTGACAACCTTTTTAAAATTCGGCTCCGGCTACCTCACTCACCAGACGAAACGCGAAAGTATGAGGTCGTGATACTTACCCAGACGAGCATGCCCATTCGTGCCCGAGGCTGCTGCATGGCCCTACCGCAGTTGACTTTTGACAAATACATTTTAAATGAGTGTACAAGTGTTATTTTAAAACATTTATTCGATGGGAGAGTGATTGAAACGAGTTTTAAATTCTTTGCGTCCTTGATATCCAAGCGTAAAAGTAGCAGCCTATACATGTCCCACTGCTGGCCAAAGGCCTACTCTATACAGAGGGTATCAGGGTATAGTCCACCACGCGGCCCCACTGCGGATTGGAGGACTTCACATATCTTCGAAATATATTTTTTTGTTATTGTTTAGAAAATAGAAAGGAAGAAAGAAAGAAATATTTATTTGGTACATATGCAGGTTTCCTCACGATGTTTTCCTTCACCGCGGAGCACGTGATAATTCAGCAATTAAAGCACTTCATTGGTGTCGGCACCGGGGATCGAACTCAGGTTGCTCGAGTATATATTGAATTAAAGGCCAGCGCCCGGACACTGAGCTACCAGGGATATCCAAGCGTACTGACCCATTTATATCAGAAATTCTATTCAAGTGCCGAAAAGCTCTCGTTAATTTCTATTCTCATTGACAATTAAACTTTGACAAACGGCCGAGCCCGCGAGCCGATGTCGCGGCGACACTGCATTCCGCGCGTCGTGTACGTCCGCGCAAAATGCCGCCCGAAACGCGCCCGAAATTAGGTCTCCGGGACCTTAACGTCCGCGGCGGTCTCATTAGGCGGCAATTAACGCGGGCCGGTCTGCGCTCCCCGGATAATTGCCGCCGATGCCGAGATAACGGGCACCGCGCGGCGGAATGCGATCGGCCGACGTTAATTTTATTCGCGATCGAAATTCGCACACGCGGATATCTGTGTCTTAAAGTGCGAAAAGAATTTCGCCTCGGTGTAGTCGGACACTGTTCGCGGAATGGCACTCGATGAGTAAAGTTTCTAAACTTATAATACAGCCGATGAGTTTGTTTGTATGGACGCGCTAATTTCTGGAGCCTTCTGTCGGATATGAAAAAGTCTGTTTCCATTGGATAGCCGGATTATTGAGGACGGTCTAACATCACGCAGAAACGTTCCTCGCGATATTCGCACGGAACAGTTAGTAGTAGGTCAATATGCATTTGAGATTCAAGTGCATGTTGCAGTTTATAATGTTAGAAACTGCGTAGTTTTAGAGGCTTTTGTAGCAATCGCACGGTTTGAGCTGCTATTGTTGCGGTCGAATAATCAGCGTTACGCAAAACTTTACCCAAGATTTTATATAACAACATTAATAAGAAGCGGAATCTTCGGAAAGTACTAAATATTGAACGAAACAGAACAGTTTTACCTTAATACGTGTAAATTATTGTATTTTGCGTGATGGTAATTATAATAATATTATTTTTATTATTTAGAAAATGTGCAGATTTCCTCACAATGTTTTCCTCCGACGTTTAACACGTAATAATTTAGCGCTTAAGAATGAAAATTCCGTTTGTGGCAGCACCCGGATTTGAACTCATGTTGCTCGAGTACATATTTGATTAAAAGCGAGAGCACACACACTGAGCTATCACGGTAATTGTATAATTTTCAAAATTTAAATATGTTATAGTCACGCGTCTTAGTTATGGGGCGAGTCAGCTTGACCGAACAAACGCACCTTCACTCTTCTTTCGTCTATAGTCTTTGTACAACACGACACTTCAACGGCGAGACGTTATACATTTTTTTATTACTCTCTTTTTTTTTTCCTTTATCTCGCTTTCCGGTTGATGTCGAACGTAAATAATTTCACTTCCTAGGTGTTGATTTATTTTATTATAGGGCTGTTAATTTAAGTCGTGATGTCACAACATCGGCTCAGCTTTCAATCCAATTGATGTTCCGGACTTGAATTCCGGTGTCGGCACCAATAAGTTTGCTAATTGCAATTTTGTGCGATCTATCGTATCCTCGGCAGTAGAGGGAGAACGTTTACAAGAAATACACACCTTAGACATCAAAAAATATTTCGCAATTGTGATGCCCGTCTCAACGCAGTATTAACCGGATAACCAGTTATCATAATGTTGAATTACTTTTTATTATATCAATAAAAATAAAGATAACCAGACCGCAGAGTCTCTTCTGTTATCATTTTACCCACACCCCTAAAATACTCTTTACATATTATGTCTATCCAAAAGGTTGACTGGATGAAATTGCTTTTTTTCCGCCCATTGTACAACCTTTACATAATTGTTATCTTTAATGTGTTCTTTTTAACCATGGTGTGTGTAATAAAGAATATTCATTCATTCATTTACTGCTATGTAGTCTTAAAGGCTAGTCCAATGAACCAGTTAATACACCACTCATGCAGCTGTTGAATGGTATTGTGTTAACACAAACGGACAGTTTTACTCCGATATCATTTTTACCGGCACGCAATCTCAAGGGCCAGTCAAGGTCAAGTGTTGCGTCGTGTTGCGTTAAAACAAACGCAATCGGAGCTGACGCCGTCCGCCCTTCGACAGGAGAAGGACCTCCAGTCGGACCCCAAGGAGATGGAGCTCGCGCGCCAGCTCAGCGACTGCCTCTCCATCGCCCTGGACTCGGTGCTGTGCTCCACCCGCCTGCACCAGGAGAAGCCGAGGCGTCGAGAGGACATGGAACTGCTCAGGACTCTGCGCAACAGGGCCCACATGATCATCAGGTGAGTCGTTAGACACGCGAACCAGGGCAAGCCCAGGGTTCGCGAGGACTTGGAGCTGCTGAGGAGGCTGCGCACCAGGGCCCGCATGATCATCAGGTGAGTCATGACACGCAGCGTGGTTCGCCTTCGCGGTGGATCGACGCGATGCTGCGATCGCACTCAGCATCGTGGCACGAGAACAGAAACTACTTAAACGTGGTGGGGCCAAGGAGCGGCTTCGACTGTTGCACGAATGGGCAGCCACGCCCGGGCATGTACCACGAAATCACCCAAGATTGGCGGGAAGTGGAAGTGTTACACTTTTTCGTTACGTCTGGTGAGTGTGGTACCGGTTAACTCGCTCAACAGACGAAACGCAGGCCCAATTTATTATGTGGTGGCAACGCATTTGCAACCCTACGAGTGTTGCAAATGTTTATGGGCGGCGGTTGTAACTTAACATCGGTTCACCGGATGTTAAGCCATCTTTTTACATTAAAAAAAATCCCTAAAGTTATAGTTTGAGGTTTCCGAGTAGTCTGTGAGTAGTTTTTATTAAAAAAGCCTCACTCAATATAAATATACGCGTCGAGTTGTCTTTTTAAGAGGCGCTAACACGCGAAAACTGTAAAAAAATATTATCATTGGTTTCTCTATTTACCCGCGGCGACAATGTTGTTTACATCTGGCAAGCGCTTCGTGCGATTTTCGCCTTTATTTGTATATTAGAAGCGTCGATTTTACCTAACACAGTATCAGAAGGTGTGACCAACTTTAGGCATCATAATCTAATTTGTCTAATGCACTCACACGACGCCCCCGCGCAATATGTGGGGGGTGGAACGGGGGATGTAGCTTGGCAAGGGTTGCGCCGCGGCCTCTTCAAATTTGAACCCTATATGCACGTATTAAGGACCACTTTTGGCTTCGATGGTGACGGAAGAAATGCGGTCTGGAGTTTTTCAAGTTATGAGTACTGGCTCACTAACCGTAACAACACGGTTATAATTTAATATATGACAAAATTTGTGACGTAGTAAAGAGACTTGGCGCCAGCTACCGATCAGAGATGGCTAGAGAGAGCAATTTCGTGTCGAATAGTGTTTGAAAATATTCGGTATTAATGTTACGTGGCTTACCAACAAAGAACAATTTAAAAATTTACAAGTTCATACAAAACCATAATTATTGGGCATGTTATTGAACGATAACATCGATAACTCTAGAAATGACACTCGCATTAGGGTGTTAATTTTTCTATTCACTTGAAAGCTATTGGATAGAAGAAGAGCTTCGTTCGAACTCTGAGTTTACCTCTCGGTTCCTCCGTCGACTGGTCTGAGCTGTGTCCACCGGGTGGCTTTTGACCTTCATAACAGCTTCTTTTTTCACCCAAAAATCCGGCCAGTGCTTGCGTACTATCTTACCTGATGTGTAGTAAGCTGGTAACAGCACTAGCTTATTGACTCTGTTCTCTCTTGACTTGAAGACACTCACATGGTTAAATGAAACCCTTTATAGTTCCGTTCATGGTCACCGGAGAGACCTCATGGTCTGTCTCTGTCTCTCTTAAACTCTGGAAAGTGTTCGAATCCTCGGAAATTTAACATCAGATTGAAACGCGATGAAACACTTAAAATAGGTTAATTTAATCATGTATAATATTCGCTTAAAATCAAGAAATCAATATTTACACACATAATTGTAATTGAACGCAATTATGAAACTTGGATCTAACCTAAATTGAATAATGATAAATTGGCTTTGTCTCGTTTTATTTGAATGGGACAGGTTATTTGAACAGGTTTTCCTTAACCGATTTTTGCACTTGATAATTCAGTACTTAAAATTGACAATTTCATTGGTGCCGGCAATTTCAACGGAACTGAGGTTGCCAGAGTATATTAAAAGCTACCGCCTGGACAATAAGCCATCAAGGCTCCACACTTCTATAACATTAAGAATTAGTAAGCTATTTTTTTACTAACGGAAACCAAAATTGACTTCAAATATCTCGCATAGATATAATTGATTTTCAGGAGTTCCGTAAGTATATTCGGAGCCCAAGCGCCAATACCAATGAAATCAATATGGGACCACATAGGAAGCACCAGCTTTCAAATAAAGAATCTAAGCATTGCATCAAATGTTAAAAAACAATGTAGATAAAGGACGTTAAGATTTTCGTCTGCGTGGCAATCAACCGTTTAGCTCAGTGGCTAGAGCGTCAGGCCGCGAATGGCGAAGACGTGGGTTCGATTCCCACAGCGGCGGCAATCTTTTCGCACTTTTAATTTTCTACATATTTTAAAAAAGGAATCATCAAAATCGGTGCACTCACTCGAAAGTTCTGAGTTAACAAACATAGTGGGATGGCAGTCAAGCGCTAGTCAGTTCCATATACAGCGTGTGGTTACCATCGCGACAATAAATGAACACACATATAGGGGATAACTTTTTAAAGTTGTATTATACATTTAAATTCTTTAAACATCAATATTTACAGAGTTATTAAGTTTTCCAAAACAAAGAATTTTAGAACACCCTTACCTATAAAAGCCTAACGTAAATTTCATTTGTAAAGGTCACAAAGCATATGAATGGGTTGAATGAATTAAAAAGAGACAAAACGTACTGTTAGGAGGAGAGGCTTGTAAAACGACGCTGTGGCGCGAGTTGTATAGGATGTTACAAATTATGTTTCTTTTTTACTTAATTAGTTTGTTTGAATTTTTTTTTTATTTATGGATTTTGTTTAACGTTAATATTTTTTTATGACTATTGGCAAGTAGCGTAAGACGTGTGTTCATTTATTGTCGCGATGGTAACGACACGCTGTATAAAAAAAAAATTAAAAATTACAGTCGAATTGAGAACCTCCTCAGTTTTTGAATTCGCTTGAAAAAACCCGGTGATACCATTCTGTCTGTTGACTATATAGTTGGCATCGTACCTCATCGCTCGATCGGGAAATCTAATCACAAGTGTTTCATTGAGAGACGGTCCGTCGTTTTCGCGCGCGTCGATTGTTCGCCATGTGCCGACCCGCCGCGCTCTCCATTGTCGCCATATGGACACTGGGAGCCGGAGCGCACGGCCCTCCGCCCCGGCGCCACAGAGCAGTCGAACGCAGCTGGGCAACTCGGGCGTAAGCTGTTTTCTTTTCAACTCACTTTAAAAGGAGGGGGTTCTCAATTCGACTATATCTTTTTTATGTGTGTTACCCCAGAACTTTTGACGGGGTGAACCAATTTCGATGATTATTTTTTTTTTATTTGAAAGCTCGTGCGTCCCATGCGGTCCCATATTAATTTCATTGGTATTGGCCCTCGGGCTCCGAATATACTTAGGGACCTCCTGAAAATCAATTATATACATATATGCGAGATATTTGAAGTCAATTTTGGTTTCCGTTAGTAAAAAATAGCTTACTAATTCTTAATGTTATAGAAGTGTGGAGAGCCTTGATGGCTTATTGTCCAGGCGGTAGCTTTTAATATACTCTACCAACCTCGTGAGAAAACCTGTTCAAATAACCTGTCCCATTCAAATAAAACGAGACAAAGCCAATTATCATTATTCAATTTATTGGATCTTGGGTAACGGAGATACTTAGGGAACTCCTGAAAATCAAAATAATGACTAAATGATATTGAACAATAATATATATATAACAAACAAAATCTTTGAAACACTTATTTTTTCTGAAAAACTTGTGACTTTGACATAAGCGACACACATATAACTATATTAGTACAGAAAAAATAGTCTATACTCTTACAATACTACTGATATTACTAACTGTTAAAAGTATTAAAAAGTATTAAAAAGTAATTAAAAGAGTAAAAACTTTTATTTCATCAGAAATCACCCTATATAGATGATATGGCGCCGCTGCTTTCGTACTCTGTGGTGGCTAACGAGGTGGGGTCATGCGACGATATATTCGGTAGATTACAAGTGATTATCGATCCGACCCAATCGCGTGGAGTCACTCGATTAAAGCGCGGGGGTGTATTAGTGTAAACGATACGCGAACCGTCCCATTAATCTCCACCGTCTGCCGCAGACGACATCTGATGTCCTACAATCGGTTGCTACATTAAGTTGGATTACTTAAATGAGATTGGTCAACGATAGGATCCGGTAGCAAGAAAATCATTAAAACTTTCGTGAGACATTATTAATGCAATATTAAGACGGCTAAACTCCTTATGTTACATCTACGGCGTAACAGGTGTCCAATTTGATCCGTTACCCCTCGCATATATGGTAAATATACCGGGTTACGCCGTAGATGGAACATCAGGACAATTTTCCGTCCCATGACACAGGTAAGAAGTCTCTTACGATCGCCTAAGGATCGGGACCCTCTAGAAGGCCCTGGCGTCTACGAAATCCCTTGCGACTGCGGCAAAAGTTACATTGGAGAAACGGGACGCAACATAAATACTAGGCTAACCGAACACATCCGCAGTATACGCAAAATGGACAGCAACACCTCGGCGGTGGCAGAGCACTCCCTTAACTCCGACACCTCACATTTTATTAGTTTCGATAAGGTGAAAGTGCTAGCCCGTGAGAAGAACTTCGTGTCACGGAAGCTCTTGGAAGCCATAGAGATCGAACGCCGGGCTAATTTTAATAGAGACAAGGGATGGGCTCTGCCGCCTACTTGGAAACCCGTGTTGTTGAATGCGACACGGAATAAGAACGATAGTGCTAGCGATTGTGTAGTGGACATAGTACATTTTGTGCGCCCCATAACACCAATAGTGACACTAGACCAATCTCGCTGGTTGCGTCATCATCGCCGGCGCAACCCGCGCCCCCCGCACTACATAGTATTAAACAAAGTCGTCCCACTGTCTTTCTGTCCCTATATATGCTTAGATCTTTAAAACTACGCAACGGATTTTGATGCGGTTTTCTTCAATAGATAGAGTGATTCAAGAGGAAGGTTTACATGTATAATTCATGCATTAAATAGTAGAGAAACACTGAAAATTTCAGGGGTTTCT